CTTTATGAGCAGAAACGGTATAACTCACCATAACTCTATTTTGCTTTCTATCCTTAATTTTAGCCAAGAGATGAGGAAGCCAAAGTGCTGTCTGCTTCCGTAATAAAAAACATAGTAAGTTCTGAACTGCAGTTGAACATTATGGGAAGAAAAATTCAAGAGGTTTCTATTATCATAAACTCATTGTAATGATACCTGTCTAATATAATTTCTTTTTTAAACCAAAGATATCACCTCCAAGGCCTACATATAACGTATCAAGGCCTTCTCCTGTGATGCGTGGCAAGCAAAAATTAAGAAATTTGCCAGAAGATAGGCCGGTAAGGGAAAATATTCAGACACGTTGAAAATGATCAGGGAATTAAGTGGTCAACATTACTTTTTTTTGCCTAGCATTTGAGAATCTGTTTGCACGAATGCGAATCATCTAATAGCGAGCACGAGGAGGATGATGATAGGAAGAATTTTAGCAGCAGCTCGAACGACGACGGTAATGATATTGGTATCGACTTTGACTTGAATATCTTCATAGAGAACAATGAGAAAGGAGAATGAATGTTAGAGACTGGGGAAAAGATAGTGAATGAATGTGCTATCTTCTATGACCTCAAAGGCCATAGAGCAAGTAAAGCATTCAAAAAACCGAGATGCATGTGCCCTTAGTGTTATCCGGTATGTTTTCCCCTCTGCCACTCACAGCATAAATTCAAATTAAATTGTTGGATATCTGTCATAGTCTTGGCCTTTCATCGATCATTGATCTGTTCTCAGAATTTCCAGAAGGCATGTACGAATAGTTTGGAAAGCATTGGTCAGCCCTCAAAGCCAGAGCATTGGAACACTTGAACATCACGATCAGGAAATTTGAAGACCCTCTTACAACTGACATCAAAAAAATCATGGAGATGCGTATGCAAATTATATGTTAATGTGTTAAACCTCAGAGTAATTTAGTTTCTTTCAAATGATTCAGTGTTGCGCATCTTATCAGTATTATGAGGCGCAAAAATTCATGCTAGGTAGAATGTTAGATTAACTAACAGAATGTTTATATCAACAAGTGATGAGATGTTATTTTTTGTGTACGTATTGTACCTGCTTGTGTGTTCTGTGATCTCATATCATACTGAAATTGTGTTTAATTTTCTTATTAGCCTGAACATGTTCCTTAAGGACCCTCATGTTTTCGTGAGCAAGGAGGGCAAGAAGCAAAATCTATCTGAGATGGATTATATAGTCAAGATCATCAGCCCTATACTGGACATAATTTTCTCTAATGTTCAGCAACTACTTCAACTCAAATGGTAAGTGTGTTAGTCAGCTTGTCAGTCAGATCATATGCTCATTTTGCAATATCATAGGAGGATATGGTTTGCAAGAGAACTCGTCGAAAAATTGATCTAAGGATTATTTGTCGAGAGAAGGACATCGAGCTTAGTCATTCTGAATGTGCACGAATGATCACGCGTATCAAGATCACTAAAGATCGTAGCAAATCTCTGAGGATAAATAAGCGTGTTCTTGACAAATACCTTATCAATAATCTATCCGAGAAAGCAGTCAAAGATTTCGTAATAATTGGGCTGCAATTTGCTGATAAGTCATTCATTCACACATGAATCATGCTGATAAAGATTAATGCTCACTAACATTGTATTAGAGCTCTACAGTTAAATTATTAGCATAGATTTATTCGATGAAGGACTGTACTTCAGCTTTGAAGGTCTCACGTTTGCATTTTCAAATCAACTCTGTAATTTATCTTCTCTGCAAGAAACGCTGGAGGCATTATATTTCTTGAAAGTAATGGAAACTCTCAATGTTTATTTTTATATATGCATATTTGTAAATGACAGATACTAATGAAAATTCTGATGAAATACAATGTTGTTCAGAAAGCAAGAGCATTATTTCTGCACGGGAATGCTCCAAATCTGTTCTATGACATTTTACATAAAGGGGTCAGGAACAGTAAATCACATCATCGCAAAATTGATTTTATGAGAGCAACTTATTTTACGTCATCGAAAGTGTCGATCGTTAATGAGATAAAAAGTTGCAATCTCTCCAGTCTATCAAGTAAATATTCTTCAATTTAGTGAAAAGGAATAAAGAATAGCTTTATGCTTGCGAAATCTTATTAAAATGACTCTCGAATCATAAACGTATGATAACACATGAGCTTTACAGCCAAACTTTAGCTAGCAACATTAATACAGTATATATTTTGCTTGATTTTCGCTTTTCTGTACTCTGACTATTAAATCCTAATTTGCCTCAATTGAACTATTGATAAGCTTCTTAATCCTAAATTGCCATTTGGAAAATGATACAAGCATACTGTAAGGATATATGTTTATGTTTGTGCTGGTAGCTGCAAATGATTTTACAAAACATACTAAAATTTCATTCAATTCATTGAACTGAGTTATTAATAAAAATGAGAAGTTTGTCATATAGAGAGCAATATTGATATATGTTTTACTACTCATCAAGAAAATCAGAAATAGCCTGGATAACTGATACAAGAAATAATTTATTGTATTTTACAATTTTCACCTACAAAATTTAGATAATGCAAAATTTATGTATAGAATTATATGTATATTAAAAGTGATAAAAATGATGATTCTAGTCAGTATAAACATGCAAATGTTTTTTGAAAAAAGGCATATCAGTATGTAATAAAGATGTACTAATATCAAAATTAATGATAAAAGCTTTATTAAAGCAATAA